GAATAAAGGGAAACAAGAAGACTTTTTATAAATACGTTAGAAGCAAGAGGAAGAAGATAAAGGCCAGGGTAGGCCCACTGGTCAGTGAGGAGGAAGAAACAGTAACAGGAAACTTGGAAATGGCAGAGATGCTTAATGACTTCTTTGTTTCGGTCTTCACCGAGAAGTCTGAAGGAATGCCTAACATAGGGAATGCTAGTGGGAAGGGGGTAGGTTTGGAAGATAAAACTTAAAAAAAAAAAAAAAAAACAAGTTAAACATCAGCTAGAAAAGTTAGATGCCTGCAAGTCACCAGGGCCTGATGAAATGCATCCTAGAATACTCGAGGAGCGGATAGAGGAGGTATCTGAGCCTCTAGCTATCATCTTTGGAAAATCATGGGAGACAGGAGAGATTCCAGAAGACTGGAAAAGGGCAAATATAGTGCCCATTTATAAAAAGGGAAATAAGAACAACCCAGGAAACTACAGACCAGTTAGTTTAACTTCTGTGCCAGGGAAGATAATGGAGCAAGTAATTAAGGAAATCATATAAGCGTACTCTCTATCCCAATATCTACATCATTGATGAAGATATTGAACAGTACGGGTCCCAAAACAGACCCTTGAGGAACTCCACTTGTTATCCCTTTCCAGCAGGATTTAGAACCGTTAACAACAAAGTTCCCTTCTTGGGACAGATGAGGGAGAAGCAGTGGACGTTGTATACCTAGACTTCAGTAAGGCATTTGATATGGTCTCGCATGATATTCTTATCAATAAACTAGGAAAATACAACTTAGATGGGGCTACTATAAGGTGGGTGCATAACTGGCTGGATAACTGTTCTCAGAGAGTAGTTATTAACGGTTCACAATCCTGCTGGAAAGGTATAACAAGTGGGGTTCCGCAGGGGTCTGTTTTGGGACCGGTTCTGTTCAATATCTTCATCAGCTATTTAAATATCGGAATAGAGAGTACGCTTATTAAGTTTGCAGATGATTCCAAACTGGGAGGGATTGCAACTGCTTTGGAGGACAGGGTTGTAATTCAAAATGATCTGGACAAATTGGAGAAATGGTCTGAGGTAAACCTGATGAAGTTTAATAAGGACAAATGCAAAGTGTTCCACTTAGGAAGGAACAATCAGTTTCACACATACAGAATGGGAAGCGACTGTCTAGGAAGGAGTGCAGCAGAAAGAAATCTATATTTATAGTCGACCATAAGCTAAATATTAGTCAACAGTGTGGCGCTGTTGCAAAAAAAGCAAACATGATTCTAGGATGCATAAATAGGTGTGAGCAAGACAAGAGAAGTTATTCTTCCATTCTACTCTGCGCTGATTAGGTCTCAGTTGGAGTATTGTGTCCAGTTCTGGGTACCACATTTCAAGAAAGATGTGGAAGAATTGGAGAAGGTCCAGAGAAGAGCAACAAGAATGAATAAAGGTCTAGAGAACATGACCTGTGAAGGGAGACTGAAAGAATTGGGCTTGTTTAGTTTGGAAAAGAGAAAATTGAGAGGGGACATGATAGCGGTTTTCAGGTATTTAAAAGGTGGATGAGGTATTTAAAAGGGTGTCACAAGGAGGAGGTAGAAAAATTGTTCTTCCTGGCCTCTGAGGATAGAATAAGAAGCACTGGGCTTAAACTGCAGCAAGGGAGATATAGGTTGGACATTAGGAAAAATTTCCTTACTGTCAGGATGGTTAAACACTGGAATAACTTACACAGGAAGGTTGTGGAATCTCCATATCTGGATATATTTAAGAGTAGGTTAGATAAATGCCTGTCAGGGATGGTCTAGACAGTACTGGATCCTGCCATGAAGACAGGGGACTGGACTTGATGATCTCTTGAGCTCCCTTCCAGTCCTAGTATTCTATGATTCTAAGCAACACACAAAGGCTATTTTTAAAAGCTTTCAAATTCCATTAAAGTCCCTTAGGTTTTAAAGTTCATTTTTATGCCTTTTAAAATTGAGTGTCTTGTACTAAGGAGTGTATACTGCTGCTTTCCTGTAATTCCACTTTAAAGTTGATATTACTTTAGTCAGGTGAGTAAATTGCTCAATCAGATGCAGTAAATGCTGTCAACCTAATTGAGTTACTTTTTGGAGAACAAGTATTAACTTTTTTGTGGTCGCAAAATAGTTTGGAATAGGGTAGTAAATAGTTTAATTTGTTCTGGTGCTGGCCATTGTATTGAGTGCACACAGTTTCAAAGAATTTGCTCAAGTTTCTGAAAATTAAGATTTCTAAACATCATGTTGGTTTATCTTAAACTGAAAGTCTTTAAGGAAGGATACTTGCAAACCATAGCCCCGTTAATTGGCATGTTGCCAAACTGGAGAAACTGTCCTTAAACAAATTCATGGTAGTACTTTGTTACATTTTACTGCAATCTAAAGTAGGACATCTGGGTTCACAAACTGTTTTTTAGATCTGCTTCCTGTTTTAAATTTGCCTGCTTTTTTTTAGAATACCATCTTTTTTTATATATATATACTTCTAACGTGCCATTTGCTAGCTTCTCAGAGTTTCATTTCATTTAATGGTAATGAAAGTGCATTTTTCTCAGGTTCTGAGTAAGTTCAAACCACAATCTCACATTTCTTTTAAATCGGTATATCTTTTGTTTTTCTGTGATTCTTGTAGATATTTATACACATTATATTGACTTTACTAGTAAAGGTAGTTAATGATCTATGACCCTAAATGATAATATGTAATTGAGAGTAGGTGGGTGATGTTATATCTTTTATTGGATAAATTTCTGTTGGTGAGAGACAAGCTTTTATAGCTTAACCCATACAGATGTTTTTTTAAAAATATAAAATCAAAGGATTATCAAATCATGGTTTGATAATGTACAAAAATAGGCAACACATGGTATGTTTCAAACCACCTATATTTAATTGGCATTTCAAACTCAGCTCTAAATATCGGCTGAGTGACCAAGAGCTAGCTGGCAAAATGCTAGGGAAAAAAATGAGGAAAATACCAACAGTGGTCAGAAAGAGCAACTGATAATATAGCAAATAATTTTTGAAATACACTGTTGAAAAACTTAGAAATTTATATTTCTGTATCATGTTCCTTTCTGCTTAATTTAAATGTTGAAATAAGTTTCATTTTTTGAGCAGAAGCTAAAATTATATCTTTAATGATGCATGTGCATGCTTTTTCAGTTGGCTGATAATCATTAAACAACAAAATATAAAACATGTTGTATTACAGCACATATATTTGCATCATTAATGCAGGTAAGTGAATTTTAAACAGCATCTGTAATGGGAAATATGTTACTTAACCACACAGTTCTGTTGTGGTAGTGCTGACAGGATATGAACAATTCAAAAATAGCTATCTTAGATTGAATATGAAGTCCATTCTTCTGCTTGCAGCAGAGGCTGAGTATACATTACAGGTTAGTTTGTAAAGCATTTCACAATACAAACAACCTTACCTTGTTTTCTGATCATGGAGTTTGCAATTGGAACTTTTTTCTGTGTTTTGTTCTTGTCTCTGGTGAATTTTCTTTTTCAAAGTCAGAGTAAAATCCCTTCAGCCATTTAGAATTTTGTAAGAGTTAAAAACTTCCCATATGTGTTTGTTTAAAAAAAAATTAAAAAACCAACACACACAACTAAACCACTATTAAGATTGTACTTTAGCAAAAATTAGATAGTACACCTTTGAAGACTTAGTGACTTTTGGCTTGGAAAACATCTAGTTTTGATTAAAGTTATGAATATTGAAAATGAAGAATGAAATTAAATAAGAATACATAATAGAAAATTCCCTTGTCCTTAAACGAACTCTGCTCATAATTATAAATATTGTTCTTCGAGCGACTATATATGTTTTTTTTATTCTAGGTGTATGTCTCTCATGTACTGGTGCTAGTTTTCCTTAGCAGTTCCCATATAGGCAGCCTGTACCTGCACCCTGGTGTCTCTTGTGCCTAATGCCATACCCCAAGCAAAAGTATTACCTAATTTAGTCAATCAAAATGCATTTACTAGTCTTTGCACCAATGCATCTGTCCATCCTGAGTCCATTTCAAAGGAACTAAAAGATGAGAGGGGTGGCTCCAACCTGTTCAGAGTACAAGTATCAACAGAGTGCAGGTGTGTGGTTGCCCATATGGATGCCACTAAGAAAAACTCTCTGGCATGCCACATGAGATGTGCACGCACAGACTCCTCACATAACATGCATATGCAACACATCTCAATAAACAATTGTAATTAGATTTTTCATCTGTATTCTCTATTCTTCTTGGTTGGCTTCTTTTTTCCTTTGTTACATAGAAAACATGATCAGATTTGTCGGGTTATGGCCAAAACTCCTGTTGTATCTGCAATGTGTGATTGATTTTTTTTTCAGACCTCCTGCAATAAACTACCCAGTAATTTGGGGCACTGCTGTGATTTTTGAAAGAGATTTTTCTCTGTTAGCACCCTCCGTCTTCCAAATATCTATTGAGACTAAAACTAGTAGCCTATAAAAATACAGTGCATTTGGTCAGTTGGTGCCTGTTTAGCTGTGTGTGCAGTTCACTGTCAACATCCGTGAATAATATTGCCTTTGCTGACTGCTGCTTGTTAGTTCTGCAACTGTGAACATCTTTTTCTCCCCAGATAAATGCAACATTAAAGTTGTATCATTAAGCACTTATATCAGAAAAATTTTGAACCTGTAACACTGTTTTCTTGCATGTGCACATTTTGATGATGTCGGGTCACAAAATTAAAAATATTACCCTAATAACTAGTAGCTTATTTATGGACTGATGCAAGTAACTGGAGGGGTTTTTTTAAGCTCATTAAACTAGTGGTCCCCTTATCCCAGAATTCTTTAGGAAAACTTAAGAGCTTTGTTTTAAATACCTTAATACAGTATAAGGAATTTTTTCAGAAGAAGATAAAAGAAAATTTTGGAAATATGTAAATTAGGTGTGTTATTATTTTACACGAATGGTCATATCTCCTTTTCATATTTTTTGTCTTTTTTAGTTTCTTCTTCTGTAGACAATGGTAAGAAGCAACAAAGAAGTTGTACGCTTTTATCAAAAATCTCTCCAAAAGAAAGTTCACAGTCTCCATCCTCAGAAGAGCAAGAATCTCCATCTTATAGGGAAAAGTTTATCCCACCTGAGCTTAGTATCTGGGACTATTTCATAGCAAAGGTAACGTTTATAGTTATGGAACTCATTTTGCTTTTCCTTGCATTAGCAATAACTTAAGCAGCATTTTGTTTTCATGGGAAAAGAGAAAAAGTTAGAGACTTAACTTGTGCAAATCCCTCCTTACAAATTACCAGTGTTATGCCTGCTGGGAATTAATGAGATATTAAGCAAAGATGCTTGAATGCTTAATAGAAATTAAACTGCCTCATGTGCATTCTGTAGTGTGCAATTCAGAAATCAATTTCCCAAATTAATATTGGTACAATAGATATATTGTGCATGCATAGTCCACTCAAGAATATTCATAGTAAGAATCACAGAGTACTAGAACTGAAGCTTGTTGCAATACCACACCAACCAATGGAGTTTGAGTTGAATGTAGACTTAAGTAACTTTATTTGGTCTCTGGATGGAAAATTGTAAAAATTGCTGTCAAACTCTCCGAATCAAGAAATATATGCCTGAAAGGCAAAAAAGTCAGAGAGAGGATTTAGGACGTCTTGAGTTCTAATCCTAGTATGGCAGACTTCCTATGTACAGTAATTCCTCATTTAATGCTATAGATATGTTTCAGAAAATGATTGTGTTAAGTGAAAACGTGTTATGCGGGCTCAATTTTCCCATTGAAAATAATGGAAAAGGTGGGGGTTGCGTTTCAAGCGGTGGTGTCTGTTGGGACTGGGACATAAGGCTCGGGGGAGAAAGGGGACTGGGTTACAGCAGGGAGGGGAGGTGTTTGGCTCTGGGGAAGGGAAGGGGAGGAAAAGGGAGGGGGATTGGTTTGGGAGTATGCCCCTGTGATGGTTCTGCTGGGACCTGCACTGCGTCCAGCGAGGGGGGGAGGGTCGCTGAGGGAGCAGCAAGGCGAGGGGCAAACCCTCTGCCGCTTAGCAGGGAGGCGGAGGAAGCCCTGCGCAGCAGCCAGCAACGGGCCGGCTGGGGAAATTGTATTATTCCAGGGATGGTGGTGTAATTCAAAAAAGTTCCCTAAAAAAAAAAATTGTGCTATTGTGAAAACGTGTTAAGTGGGCACATGTTAAATGAAGAATTACTGTACACAAATTGCTATCACAAAGGTTAGAATAATAGTTACCTGTTTCAAAGGTGGCCTGAGTTAATGATGTCAAGTATCAGAGGGGTAGATATGTTAGTCTGAATCTGCAAAAGCAGCAAGGAGTCCTGTGGCACCTTATAGACTAATCGAAGTGTTGGAGCATAAGCTTTTGTGGGCAAAGACCCACTTCGTCAGATGCATGTAGTGGAAATTTCCAGAGGCAGGTATAAATATGCAGGCTAGATTCAGGCTGGAGATGATGAGGTGGATCCAATAAGGAAGGATGAGGCCCACTTCTAGTAGCTGATCTGGAGGTGTGAATTCCAAGAGAGGAGAAGCAAAATGCAGGACAATGTAGCACTTTAAAGACTAACAAGATGGTTTATTAGATGATGAGCTTTCGTGGGCCAGACCCACTTAAGCTGCTTTTGTAGATAGCGAGCCATTCACAGTCTTTGTTTAATCCTGAGTTGATTGTGTCAAATTTGAAGATGAACTGTAGCTCAGCAGTTTCTCTTTGAAGACTGTTTCAAAGAGAAACTGCTAAGTTACAGTTCATCTTCAAGCTTATGCTCCAACACTTCAGTTAGTCTATAAGGTACCACAGGACTCCTCGCCGCTTTTGAGTTAATGATGTTTCTTGATCTACTGTAGTTATTAAAATCTGATCCTCCACCTTTCCAAACAGCAAAACTTTTCTTCCATATACTCTTCATTTTCTGTTTTGATTGTTGTAATCTCTTCTTCACTGGCACACTCATCACACCCTTCTAGGCCATTAAAAACTGCCTACATCAGTGGTACTTGACTGAGGCTTTGGACTTGAATACCTCTCCTGTGTTTCTTTGCAGGATACGGAAACACTGTGTGCTTTAACCAATCAGAATGCGGTTATTAATCAGTTGTAGAATTAGATAAATAATAAATTCACACTACTGTGACTATTTTGGGTAACATTGATGATTAATTTGGCTCCTGAATTATTGAGGTCTGAATATCACTGATCTCAATCAGCCTTTCTTGGGTTTTTGACCTGACCACTTCAACCACTCTCTGAATAACTCATCTGCTTTTCAGTCTCAATTTTGTAGAATTTGATCTTCTTGTGATCACTTTCTAGATCCTTCCTTACTTGCCCTTGGCTTTTACTACATTTACCAGCTCCATGATGTATGATCTTATTCCAGAAATCTCTTTATCTTCTATAGTGCTCTTTCTGAATGCAATACCCATCATGGAATAACTATAAGGTTGTTATCCTTTCTGCAGATCACTCTTTTGAACTCACCTGTTATGCCTGCAGGAAATCAGCCAGTTAATGACGTCTGTGTCACTAGATGGCTGGAAATAGTTGATACAAACACCTTCAGTTGATTTAAAGCTATTAATTTGTGAGTGTACTGCATCTAGTTTAAGTAACTAATCTTGTTGCTGCTCCCCCTCGTTTACCCTCCATCCTGTCACCTCTCCTATATGCTTTCTCTCTTGGGTCATGGCTAGACTTGCTTTCACTTTTGAAAGAAAATATGCAAATTCACGCCAAATTTGCATATCTCCTTTCGAAAGTTAAAGTAAGTCTAAATGTGCCCTTGTTGTTTATCTTCACTTTCATGTCTAGTGCGAAATCAGATTGCAGGATCTTTGGAGCAGAAACTTTGGTTTTTGTCTTTGTCTTTCTCTGATACTAGCACAGGGGCTGTAGTCTTGCTTGGAGCTTTTAAGTGTTATTTCAACACAAGTAGTAAAACAATTAAGCTTTTGAAAATGTAAAATATTATTTAAATAGAGGAACTTGTCTAGTTTTAAAGTCAGTTATGCTGAAGAATGAAGGGCTTTTTTTAAAACAAAACAAACTTTGTTTTCTCCATCATTGAAATTATTAGAATTCTATTAACAACTACTTATTTTAAATATGACCATACATTTAAACAGTGTTTGAAACACGGTATTGGTAAATATAGTTTTGCTGAACCTAAAATATTTTTTTTCTTTTTAGCCTTTTCTTCCATCCTCACAAAGTAGAATCGAATATGACTCAGAGGAGAGTCAGGGAAGTGATGATGAGGATGATGCTTTTGCATCAGATTCACACCTTCAGGAACACTCGAATTCAAATTCTTACAGGTATGAGTCACTTAGAATCTAAAACTTATTCTGACGCTGTTGATGGTGCAATTCTGGCAACTTTCAACACAAGTGTGAGTGATAATATAGCAAGCATTCAGGAAATGCATATATTTCCTCAGAATGCATTATATTCATTGTTTGGTTGTAAATAACACGAGTGTCTTTTAATTAATGTATAATAGTTTTGGCATACAAGGTATCTTTAAATTTGTAAATATATTCATGGGTTATTAACTGTTTATAGCCTTTTGGTTAATAAAAGCTAAAAATATTCATACAATAGAGATGTTAAACTTTTATTTTTAAATTAGACTTTCTTAAAGTTGTTAGAGGTCAGTCAATGATTCATGAGTATTTTCTTGTTGTTAGTTGGTCACTGATGCGATTGGCTATGGTTCAGTTGGTGCTTCATAGGTTGAAGAATTTCTATCCCTTGGCTGGACATGATCTTTCAGGTAATGGTATAGTAATGGAAATATCTTTCCATATTTAATAATCTGGCAATGCATTCAGTAACTTAACTGCATAATAAAAACTAATCCGCCTTTTTAGCTTTATCTGCATACAGCAGAATTTTGTAAAAATAACCTGTTCAGTAGTTTTGAATTTACTTACTTTAACATTATTACTACAGTAACATTGGTACACTTTAAATATTGAGCTTCCTATAAAATATTAGTACCTATATATTTTGTTTCCATTTTCTATCAGAGCTTTGCTTACCTCTTAATCATTTAAGAAACTTGTCTTTAGCTATCTGTAAATGTTTTTTGCTACCCCCAATTTAGTTAATTTCCTACCACATACTTCCCTTTTGTAGCTCAAAGTACATCACTGCTACTATCTGAACATTGGCCTAGATGCTAGGGTCCTCCTCCCTTATCTAGCTCTTCTTCCAACAAAAAGCAATGCAGCTCTCTGCATCCAGACCACTTGTTCATAAATGAAATTTTAAGTGTGCATGTGGATAATAGATGTGTGTTAAAGTATTTGAAACACTTGACAGTGAAGTGATTTTCATCTAGATTACAGCAGATATAAAATAGTTTATTTTGTTTGGACTGTTCTTTTAGAGCTTCCAGTTAGCTCCCCTCTGTGCCATGGTATTCTGAAGACATTTCAACGCTGGGAGCAAGTTCTTCTCCGGCGACTTGAAATACATGGTGGTCCCCCTCAGAATTTAATTTCTGCTCATACCTCTGAAGATGCATTATCAGCAGGTCCTGCTCTCCTTCGCCACAAAGCTTTGCTTGAACCCACAAACACTCCTTTCAAGTGAGCATGTAGCTTTTAAAAAAATGTGTTAATGTATACTTCTGAATATTGTAATAAGTTATCCTTGGTAAGGCAAATGAAGGGCCATAATTTCAGAAATACATACTTGCATAGGCAATACCACAGATTTAGTAGATGTCTTCCTGGCTTACATACTTTATTTGCTCTCAGTTATAAATATATGCTCAGTGTATGCAATTTAGCATGCATGTGTAGACTCTTGAAACTTGAGCCCTAAGCAATGAAGATACTCAGATGTGGAGAAAGCAATCACATTTCTGAAGTTGTCAAAACCCATTGCTAAAAGCCAATTTACTATTTAAGCCTTAGTCATCTCAATACCTAACCAATTTTTTTTTTAAGTGAGGCAGGTCTTTGCTCTGCCATCTGAGGAAGCATTGTTATGTGAAAGAGGTCAGCGCCAGGCCTTAAAAGAACACTGTCATAAAATAAGTTCACCCTGTTTCTCTCTCCTAATTATATCGAAAGAAACAGTGCTAATAACTTTCTTCCCTGCCTTGACTATGGACTCATAATATTGCATCATGCAATCAACACATTGAAGTCTCAGCAAGTGATTTGTAACTTAATTTTTAAAATTGGATATTAACACTACACATTTACGTAACCATATGTTCCTTTTCTCCTGATGGCATCTGCATGAGCTCCACAGCCAGCAGTTAAGTGCACTTTTTTCCATTGTAAACTAGTAGTTCCTAACAACTGTAATTTTAGCTGTGTAGTTTACTTCATTTTTTGAGAAGTACTTTGAATGATATACATACACTTCTGTTTTTCCACGCCCTTTTGAGGATACAGTATATGGCTCTGCTCTTGACTCCTTTATGGTTTAGAACATAGCCACCTTTCCAAAAATTTTCAGTTGTTGAGGTACTTACAGCATATTCAGCTGTTACAAAAACATTCACTACTATTCCCTTTCTTGAGAATCTGTTTAACCCCCAAATCTTTACAGACTATTGGGAGAAAATGGCTTTGTGAAAGATACAAGCCCACCCTTTCAAGTGAGAGGTGAGCCCAGGTTTGTCTGTTTTGATATTACTGTTTCACTTTACTTTGTCAGTCTTCTAAATCCTCAAGTACAAACAGGGAAACCAGTTTTTGGTATTGATGTTTTCAAGGTTAAATAGGGGTTTCTTTAATTTGGAGGGGATAAAATGTGGAGGATATTTTATTGGTGTTTTATCTTTTAATGCTTACCTTAAACATAGCTTTGGTTTTTTTCCAAAAAAAATTGTAAGACACATCTGTGATGAGGAATAATTCCTATGTTTTATTATCCTAGTACAGCTAACTTTTCAGTTTAAGTATTTGTTGATATTATCTATGCTTATCTGCGTCTTAGCATATTGGTTAATAACTTAAAGTTCCTCCACCGTAAGTGCAAGGAATTCAGCCAAACATTAAGCAGGTGTAAGGAATTTTTTTTCAATCTGGGGGCCACTGACTCTCAGAAAAATCAGTTGGGGGCTACACACAAGTGAGAAGCAAAAAACAAAACCTCAGTGACCTGGCCCACAATTGAGACACACACAACTCCCACCTCCCCCACCCCCGACCCTCCCCACCCACCACCACCAAAAAACGCTACCCTTGCTTCACACACAAAGCAGGGCTCTATTAAGGTACTAATCCTACAAGGGAGCAGGGTGCCACAGCTCAGATTTGGGGCTGCAGGGGGAACCCCTGAGCCTCTCCATTGGCCGGTTCCCATCCTTGCATTAAAGAAATTTCAAAATGTAAGCTGTTAATTTGAAGTTGTAGTGTAACTGTAGCTGGGTATTTTCAGAGAGCTCAGAACAATATATTGTATATCATAATATACTGTGCTATTTATTCTGTAATCTTGGGCACTCTGTTACTTAAGGAAACCAAACCCTAACCTATCTGCCTGTTTGTACTTCACTACTTGACACAGGGATTGATTCCTGGATTTCTACATTTTTCAATTCATCACAACATGAGCATTTTATTGGATATGAGTTGTATGTTAATAATTTGGGTCTCCTGTGAATGCCAGCATAAACACATACTTATTTTAACTTTTTATCTATAGCTCTAACAGTCACGTTGCACTGTCTGTGAAGAGGCTTTGGCAGTATCTAGTTAAACAAGAGGAAGTCCAGGAAACCTTCATCAGAAATATATTTACAAAGAAAAGATGTTTAAATGAGGTCTGTATAGTAAACATAGTCTATAAAAATATGTTAATGAAGAGACTTAATTTAAGATAAAACATATCAAAGCTGGTTTACTTGTTTCCTAGAGCACAAGCTTATCACTAACAAACTTGATGTCTACAATCTTGGCTGCTTTTTGGCATTTAATTTGGTATAAGTCCAACAGCTCTACTCAAAACAAAAAATAAATGGTCCCTTTAAATTGTATGAAAAGCCTTGAATTTGCTGGAGATTTTAGCCTAAGGTGGTACAAGTGTTGTCTCAAAACAGTTCATTAAATAAATATTCAATTATATTATTAAATACATAATGCACCAAAAATACTACAATTAACAACCTAATCACACACAGTCTTCAAGTTCAGTCTGCCCCCAGCAGTTTACGTTGTGCATCCCACAATTGCCCACAGAATCTCACCTCCTTGCCTGACCGTTTTGAAAAGTATTAAAGTTAACTCAGCATCCATGAATATTGCCAGTGATGGTAGCTGAATAAGGTTCTGTATCCACACCATGACTTTCTAGGCCACATGCCCTTAAAACACACTTTTTAAAAAGTTTGACATCTTTCTCCTTTTTTTTCCATTGGGTACTTTATCATTGCTCCTTGTTTACCTAGTGCTGACCCCAAAAATATATAATTTATCACCTGCTATGGGTGGAAGACCCATAAGGCATCCATGCTAAGAGTGAATGGTAATTGACCATAGCATCATTTGAGGTTTTAATTGAACATGGTAACTCTGCAGTAGAGAGAAAAATCTCATGTAATGGTAGCTTAAACTACCATGGGTGCCAGGCACCAGCCACTATAATTCAGAACAGCACAGTACTACAGGAAATGTTTGTTTTGGTTTAGAAAGAGCTGCCTCCTAAATTAGTGGTTTTGATACCAGCTGCACTTTAAGTAGAGGAAAGAATATTACTCTCTTTTTAAAGTTACCATTTGTTACATTTTTCAGTAATTCAGTGCAGTTTGTTTAATATGCTGGTTTTGCTCCTCTTTTACAGTTTTTCTTCTGTCACTTTTTCTGTTATCTTTCCCAATTTGCCTTTGGAAGAGTTAAAAACAGCAGAGCTTAAAAACTAATCCCATGTTGCAAAAGGGTTGGGGGGTGTTAGGTTGCCTACATGTATCCTCAATCTTTTATTCCGCTTTTGCTTGATTCTGGCTCCATTTGGGCTAAATCATCTCTGGAGTGTGTACTTTGTCAGTTATTGACTAGAGACAATGGTGCCAGAAGTGACTGATGTTAGAGAGGTATTGCTGTTTCTCAGGCCATATCTATACTTACCTGGAAATTCTTAAGATACGCAACTCCAGCTATGTTAGTTGTGTAGCTGGAGTCGACATACCTTAATTTGATTTTTGGCACTGGCTTCTCAACAGTGGTCAACAGGAGCAAAACGCTTGTATCAACTTCAATTACTCCTCACAAATTGAGGAGTACCGGTGTCGACGGGGCACCCTCCGTTTTGGGTTAGTGAGTCTTCAGTAGACCCACTAAATTGAATGCCAGAAGATCAACCACTGCAATGTCAGTCTTCTCACTAGTATAGATGTGGCCTTAGAATCAGACAGGAGACTGTGATCAGAGCAGTGGAATACCCTTAGGACAATAAAATAGTTGTCAGGTGAACAGATGGTTTAGTATGCATTAATCTAACTAGGGGTCATTGCACTCTTCAGTACTCATAAAAGATAAAGTTTAAATAACATGTGTTAGCAGTCTTTATGTTCTTATTTGGTATAAAATAGTTTTGAGGCATCATGGTAGATCTAGACTTTGACTACAAGCTTGTTTCTTCCTGAAGAGCTGAAATTGAGTTAACCTTTTGAGTTTTCCACAATAACTAATACATGGGGCAGTTGTCACATTACTGAGGAAGCCCTAACCTGTTCTCCTCAGCTATGAGGAGGATAATGGCAGTGTAGAAACAGAGGGAGTTGGACTAGGAAAAAACTGAAGACCATTCCTATTTCCTCCTTCACTAAAGACTCCTAATTTCTGACACACATTCTTTTATTAATGCAGCTTTGTTGTTATGCTGCACCTGAGGTGTGCCGTAAGAGCTTGTGAAGTAATATCACTAGTTCAGGACTGCTAGCTATGTCCTTACTTTAAATTAACTTATTTACTTTGACTACTGTGTGGTTTCCTTCTGTCATTGCTAGTACATTAACATCAAGGTGTCATCTTGGTAAGTTCTAACTTACATACAAAGTTGACTATTGAAGTAGATAAAACATTGACATACTACAGAGTATAACCACCTAAGTTTTTAAAGCAAATGTGTAGTTTAGGAAGAAAAATTGAGAATTAAAATATAAATGTGTAATAAATAAATAAATAAATATTTATTTATTTATTTTATTTATTTATGGAAGTCTGCAATTCAGTGTGGAGTGTGCTAATTTTACACAGGAGTAAGTATTTCCTCAGTATCTTGCATGTTACATCTCATCTTTACTCTTTGTCATCTGATTGTTCTTTCTTGGTGAAGTCATTAGAGGACCACAGTGAAACCATCAAAAATACTATGATGGAGGAGCCCATCTTCAATAAGGTACACAATGATAATTTTAAAATGAAATTAGACATTCTTTCACTAGGAAACACCTACTGTCTTCATTCGCCATTGTTAATCTGTTTGCAACTGACTCTAGTGTGGTGAGCTTAACTTGGCAATAAGTCCAGCAGTTACATCAGTAATATTGTATAGAATGTAGTTCTGTAAATCAAGACTATTCTATGAATTAATAATTTGCTAAATTCAAATTATGCATTAATATTTTGCACTTGTACAGCACTTTAAAAACAGTTGACTGAACAGCCATGTGAGACAAGTATTCCATTAGTGTATTCTCCCATAAAAGCAGAACTAGGGAAGTAAAAGAGGAGTCAAAAATCTATATCAAAGACAGCAAGGGGAGGGGGGAAGCAGAAGCCATTGCTGGGGAAAGCTGGCTTAAAAGCTGGTTTCCCCCAGCACCATCTCTGAAGTTGGGAGAGTCAGAGGCACAGCACGGGACCCAGTGTAAGCTAGGACTGCTTCAGTCCCAGCTCACACCAGGTCCAGATGGCTGTGGTTCTGCCTTTTAAAAGTAGTAAGAGCCACTGGCTCTTACTGCATTAAAACACAGAGCCACAGCAGGGGTAGTTAGCAAACCACCCCCAAATCCCCCATGGACTAGTTTAGCTGATTATTAACATCCCTAAGTAGAACAATATGCTGTTTTGTGCCTCAGTCCATCTTATCACAATTTTAACATGTAATCACTATAATATTGCACATGTGAGTTTGTGGTTTGTCAGTTAGAAATTTTTGATTGCTGATACAGATAAGAATTCAATTCAACTGATGCTTAATTTCTGATTATTAACAGTAAAACTTTATTTTGTCTCCAGTCATTAAAAAGGCCTGATTTTAGTCATTTTATGTATTTTCACAGGTGAGCAGCACTTCACTCAAAGCAATCCAATCTCACACAGCTTTAATGTGTTTACCATAATATAGCATACCTAAGATTCAGAAATCTTAGGAGACTTGGTTACTTCAAGACAGGGTGCATTGTTTCACTCTTGAAAATAATACTGTGCTTTTCAAGGGAATATCTGCTCTTTTATAGCATTGGGATCCTGGTATGCAGCATCTTTCTTAAATTACAATTAGGTGACTGTATTTAAAGGCTATATTGTCACTCAAGCAAAAATTTTGGGCCTCATTCAGAAAGATCAGTGGCCTCTTATGCAGAAGGTCACAGATTATCATCATGGTTCTACCTCACCTTAAAAATGTATGGATCTATGGAAAGTGTGCTATTGATCACCCAAATGAGTCAGTCAGCTACAATTAGAGGTTTCTCCTAAGCAATGAAAGTATATTTTTAGGAAAGGAAAATGCTGATTGTTTTTATTGCAGCATATGTGAAAATCCAAAACCTAGTATCTGATTGTGATTGTAAGTATGACAGTGGAGGTAGAGGAAAATCAAAGATAAGCACAGACCCCTGGAATAATCAGCTAATGAAAACAATCAAATTCTCACCTGAAAGCTTAGGATTTTACGAAAGTAAGGAGAAGGAAATCTTCTACATTCACTGTTCCAAAGAGTTGGATTTCATAACTACATCTGCATTTGTTGAAACAGGGACTAGTACAGTGGATTCCCAATGCTGAATGAGCCCTCTGGGCCATTGAGACTGCAGTCAGATTTAAAAACTGATAGAAATGCCAGAAAACAGCAGTTCTTGACAATTGTGCTTATTGTATTTTGGAGCACTTAACAGATGCAAGTTTGTGACACAGCCCCTAATTTTTGTTTCCTCCCTGATGTTTTGTAGCACGTCGTGATCTCATTGTAGTGGTAATGGTTTTGTTCAACAGGATCCTCTTTGGCATCTTACAGTACTCTGACAAATAGCCAAGATACCTTATACAGTAATTTTTGCTTTAGAATTGAGAGCTGATCTGACCAGAGAGAGTCAAACACAAAATCGTTCCAATGCTAAATCTTTGCTATCATTTGCTTCAGTTTGTGTATTTTTGCAATCCAAAAAGTGGAAGACAACCCAGCAGATTTGTATAGTTGAATGGATAGCAAGTAGGCAAAATAAGACAGGAATTTCAAATTATTCCTCTGCCCTGGATCTTCCACATGCAGTCCCCTGAACCAATCTCCTCTACTTTAAAGCTGAAACACAAAGTAGTTGTTTTAAACATTTATGAGGCCCTTCTAGATCTCTTGTGATCTTTTTTTTTTTTAGTAAAAATAGTGTATAAACATATTGAAGTGCCTCTTTCTTTTATCAACATCCTTATATGCATGTGCAGTCCATATCCTTCTCCAGCTTTTCAAGGAAGATAATGGAGTACAAAAGTGTGATAAAGATGAGAACTTGTAGAATTCTCCCCCTTCCCCCAATATGGCAATCTTGATAAAATAATAATCCAAACCTGTTAATACTTCAAAAATGTTAGTTTTCACAATAGACTTGATTACGGGCTCCTACTTGCTGTATATCTTATGTTTTCTTTTGAGATGTTTATGTAATAATCAGATTTGACCTTTATGCTTCCAATATGAATTAAAAGTTCAACTAAGGATTGTACTTACAGATATATTGGTTTTATGTTCTAAATCCAGGTAGAATCAGATCTGGAACATCCAGGAGGTAAAGCAAGAATTATTCATAAAGAATCTGACATCATTACTGCTTTTGCAGTCAATAAAGTAAGTATAGATATAAGCTAATTTTGTGTTTTTAAAAATAGGCTGGACATATATCATTAAATTGTAGTACAGACTGTTCTTACAGATACAACTCGTAGGCTATGTTTACGCTCGCGGCTTCTTGCGCAAGAACATCTTGCGCGAGGGTTCTTGTGCAAGAAGTCTTGCACAAGAAAATGTCCACACTGCCATGTGCGAGCTGAGCTTTTGCGCAAGAGCACCCATGGCAGTGTAGGGGCTTTCTTACGCAAGAAATCCCTGCCGAGAATCCACACTGCCCTCTTGGGCAAGAGTTCCTGTGCCAGAGAGCTTACACCTGTTAATCAAGAGCGTAGCTCTTGCGCAAGAAGCCCTCTCTTCCCACGCTGTACTGTAAATTTCCTTGTGCAAGAGCGAACAGGCAGTATAGACACTCTGCGGATTCTTGCGCAAGAATGGCCGTACTTTCACAATAACCCACCAGTGTAGACATAGCCTTACTGTTTTAAGAATGGATCACACTGCCAGCAATTTGAACATGGCTTGAACTGTGCCATTGTTCCTTCCTCTCTCATCCTCCTCTGTCACTAGATGTTAAACTTGCAGCAGTTCTCTTCCTAGCTGCGCTCAGTGCAGCCCACTCCATTTCTGAGAAGGAGACTTCTGCTGCAGCTCTGTTGGGCTGCAGTTGCTTGGGCTGCTGCTTCCCAGGAGGCATGAAGGAACTGTGCTCAGTGATTTAGTGATTGGGTGAAATAGAAGGACCTCATGGGCTGAATCTGAGCCACAGGCTGCCATTTGAAGAACAGTGCTCTACTGTGTGGTGAGATGGGGGTAGGAGGCAGATTAGTGTGAAAGAACTTTTTGTGTTAACTCAGATACATCTGCAAGGCACTCTGATATAAATGTTGTAATGGAAGAACGTAAACAGACAAGTGCTTGGCCTTTCCCCCCAGGAGAAGGGAAAGAAGGATTTCAGTCTTCCTTAGAGAAAGGAGCTTGTAACAAGAATGTGTTGCTTTCCTTGGCAAGCATAAGGGAACAGACTTTCATAGGGATTGCAATTCCATCACTGCAACTTGGCATACATGTAGCTCCAGTGAAATGTAAACACCTATAATATATGCACATGCATATGCTTGCACCTGCAAATCAACTGGCTAGATCTTTGTCTTCTGTGTATCTGCAAATGATTGTACCAATAAAAGGACAAATGGCAAAACTAAAGGTCCATCCTGGGAAACGGTTGGTTTTTAAAATTTATTACCATTTTCAGGCAAACAGGAACTGCATTGCAATAGCTTCCAGCCATGACATTCAAGAACTAGACGTTTCTGGGATTCTTGCTACACAGATCTACACCTGGGTTGATGATGACACAGAAGTGGAAGCTAAAGGGTATATTTACTCCATTTTTATTCAAGTAGCTCTTGTAATTTTGTAATTATACTAATTTATAATAGTTTAGTACTTTTCAATTTCAAAAACCCATCTATCATCTCTCTAGTCACTAATGTTGCTTTTGTAGGTCTGATGACTTCTTGGTTATACATGCACGTGATGACCTGGCAAATGTTCAGGGTACTACACCTTATACACACAGCAATCCTGGTACCCCTATCAACATGCCTTGGCTTGGCAGTACACAGACTGGGAGAGGTGCATCTGTGGTAAGTCACTTGTGAGAAAATAGCATTTTAATTATCTCTGGTATTTTAAGATTTGTACACTTTTTGTAATTACTGGGTTACACTTGTGCCGAGTGAAGTGGGGCATGATGCATTTCCCTCATTTACTTCCCCAGAATGCTACTCAGTTAATATATTATTTCAGATGTACTGATTAGGCATAAAAACGTCTTAATCCACCTTTAATTAAATGGCTTGACTATACAAGTGATGAAAGAAGCATATATTCAGAGTGAAGTGGAAGACTGAACAAAAACTCTACATCCGGGTTCAAATAAGTTCACAAGTAAAATTTCTCTAATCAAAATGAGGGGAAAAAAATTACCGTATTTTCCGGCGTATAGGGCGACTGGGTGTATAAGACGACCCCCTATCTTTTTAATTAAAAGATAGGGTTTCATCTTATACCCCAGCGCCCTTCCGCCTCCTTTGCTCCCGGTGTCCCTGGTCTGCTGGAGATGGTCCCCAGCAGACCAGAGGCACCGGGAGCAAAGCCGCCAGGAGCGCCTGGGGTGCCCCCCCGCCGGCTTCCCCCGAGGCTTTCAAAGCCGCGGAGGGGCTCCGGCGGG